AAATCTGTAACAAAACAAAGCAGCAACAAACTTACAGATCAAAAAAAAATGAGGGGGCCTAAACAAGAGGAGAACCAAAAGACCAAATCGAAACTCACAAAATCCAAAGAGAGGAGAACCAAAATTGAAAGATAAGCGTAAATCTGGTGACCTTCAAAATCTGCAACAAGCTCTGAAATTGACAGATCTGAAATCGATCAAGAGTGTTTGAAATCGAGCGAGAGAGTGCTTGAAATCGAGCGATAGTGAGCGCTTCAAATCAGTGAGAGTGGAAGTTTTTGAGCTTCAAATCGAAAGGGTTTCTGAGCGAGAGAAAGAGTCTGAGTTGTGGAAGAGTGAGACTGAGAGGGAGAGACGTTTTGAAAGGGATGGAGTATTGAACAGTGTTAACAAATTGACCCAAACGGTGCCGTTTTACTGAGATCAGATACAACGTTTTCAAAACGTTGTATTGAACTAATCTATAATGGCGTTTTTCATAAACGCCATAAAAGAAACGTCGCAGTAGGCACATTTTCTTATAGTGTGCGATATCCATATATTTGCGTTTAACCCGTTATGGCAATTATCATTCTTGTCTCGTAATTGCTGATCATGATTTTGCAACACGATATGTGGAAAAATCTAATGGACACCATGTTTTTTATGTGGCAAGTAACGCTCGACATCAGACTCCCTAAAAAGTTCCCATGGTATGAACGCGAGGTTCAGGTATGAAATGATGGACATCGACCTGGTTGGCTGTTAAGAAGCAAGCAAAGTTGCCGTTCTAGTGCAAAAAAACAGCATCACCCATGAAAAAAATGCCCCACATCGAGGCATATGTACCATTCAAACATTGCCAGCATCACCATGAAACATTTTTGATTATTTATTGTTGAACTTATCACAGGATTTAGTTTTGTTGGCATACAAAAGACACTAATGTGTGTCCAAATTGTTATCCACATCTTGATGAACACCCAATTTTGAGTGCATAATTCGTGTGTATGTTTGAATGAAGTTCTTGACTTTGCAAAACATCCTTTGGACCAACGACATCCGTCCAAAGTGAAGATGACCATGATATACTGTATGGTGCACAATTAGCACAGTACGAAATTCCACAATTTTATGTTGTCTTTTATGTTTGGCTACATAGGTTGTCGTTACTGATTGCGTCGTAATTAACGATAGAATGTTTGTCGTTTGTTCATGATAATTGTACACCACAACAAACAAGCATATTGCATACGAAATATTGAACAGGTACCTAAACACCAGGCCAATGTGTGACGCTGAATAACACATCATGGAAATAGCATACAAAATGTTATGCATCATGTTTGGCAATGTTGGTGTGAATTATGTTATGCACTGAATGTGAGTTTTTTTCCCACTCATGGTAATTGACAAGTGTTTGGCAAGTTTGATTACAGTACACACAATATATGCCCCGAACAAAGAGAGTGGAAACACAAAAACTAAAGGGAACAATGGGAGAAAACACCACAAACACCCATACATTGAGTACAAGGAAGACATAAAAAAATGATAAATCTCACAGTAGTCACAAACACAAATCACAACTTACGTCCATCATAAATAATGAGAGTCAGACCCATATCCTATTATCCCTACATAACAATGACAAGTTGTTTCGAAAAATGAGGGGTGTAAATGCATGCTCTTTTTTTTCTTTATTTTTTTTTAAATTTTTTTTTTTTAACTTTGACCATCGTATGATATTATTGTAATAGACACATGTGCGAAATTAAAAGTAACAACAACAAACACCTGAAATGACTCGATATCATTATTGTAGTCTATAAAACGAACCAAATGGACATGCAAGATCATTTGACATGCGCTATTGCAACGTCAACACGTTCAACAAAATCTGAAACTTAAAAAAGGACATGCAACTTTAGCGAACACCTCGAAAACACACCCTAGAAAAAAAAAAAAAAAAAGGTGTAGAAAAAAATAACGTCAATGCTTAGAATACGCTGTGGCTAAATCAGTTCCTTGCACAACCTCACCCCTTGATGGAACCCTCTTCCATTTTGGCCTCCTTGGCGGGCGCTTGACAGCAGGCGGTGCTATGAGGAAATCATTAGGCGTGACCGTGGGTTTCTCAAACACTGCCATTGCGATTGACACCATCGCTTACATTTCGTTTCTGAACCAAAACATCAATTTGATCGAGTTCGAAAGACTTAGCAAGAGATAACATATTCTGAACATCCTCATCACACACAACCTTGAACTTATTATATCCGGGTATAGAGAACAATAACACCACCAGGTCGGAGGGCAACCCATTAAACTTCCCGCATATCTCATTAATCAACTCTGCGAATGTCAGCGCTTGATGAAGACGAACGACAGCGTTCATTAGGCCGTATGTACACAACAACAAAATACCGACCTCCATGCTTGCAATTCACAAAAACATTAAAAAAACCCAAATCTGCAAGTTGCTGAAACCTCCGTCCTCCCGAAACAAACACACACACACAAATTACCCACGACACCAAACACATATACACAAAACAAATCAGAATAACAAACACACACACATACACACACACTTACCTTGAGGGGGAAAAAAATCAGAACTGTCGGCACCAAAACCCATAGCATCGCGACAAAATTCTCAGACTAGCAAAATCAAATTCACAGCCCAATAAATCCATATCAACAATCTAACCAATCCCACCGTAAATCATTGAATCAAATATATTACCAACGAAAATGTAAAAATAAGTTACCAGAAATGAACAAAAACCACATCAGCCTAGAATCTACTCAATCTCATAAAAAGGATAAATATGTAAACTTCAACAATATCAAATAAAATAAAAATATCCTTACCCAACTAGATAGGACCAAATAGTTCATTAAAAAAAAAAAAAAAAAAAAAACACAGGACTAAATGGAACGACATTCCCTAATTTGGGATTTATCAGTAATTTTTCCATATATCTAAAAAGTAAAATATTTGTGAAAAAATATTTTAAAAAATTAATAAATATACAAAAATACAAAAAATATATATATATATATATATGTATTTTTGTATTTTTGGTATTTAGTAAATTTTTAAAGACTTTTTTTCACAAAAATTATACTGTTTAAGTGTATTTATGTTAGATGTATCTAAAACTTAAAAAATTTACTTAAAATATTAAAAAATTAGTAAAAACAAAAATATGAAAAATAAGAAAATAAAATTTTTTGAAAAATATTTTCTAAAAACTAAAACTAACCTTTTTTTATTAATTACAAGAAGTGTTCATGACACAGCTTCAAGACAAATGGAATGCGTCAACGGAAGGGAATAATATTAATTTTATGAAAATTGAATTTATATATTAAAAAGTTATATGTACTCATTCTCTTTTAAAATATTAATCCTTTATTTTATTTTTTATTATTTCAAAATATTAATTTCTTTTCAAAAATTAAGTAATAAAATAACATAAATTTACTATTTTGCTCTTATTTTAAATTCATTAATAATAAAAAAAATAAATTATGACAATTGATATTCTCAAAAAAAATGTACCATTAAAGGGTAATTCTAAAAAAATTAATATTTTTAAAATGCAATAATTATACTATTAAAAAATATTGAATTCTCCAAAAGTGACTATTATTTTAGAACGAAGGGAGTATTTTATTAAAATAAAATAGAATAAAATTTATTTTGTTTTTTAATTATAAAGGGGACTGCTAAATGTCCCTACCTTTCTATTTTGCACCTCCTACTTCTTTGGCCTCCCACCACTAAAATTGCTTCCCTCTTTATTTTTCTTTGGACCCCTACCGTAATCTCAAATATACCATTTGAACCCCACCTCTCAATCTTCCACCTTCAACTCCTCCTTCCTTCCTCTGGCTGTCCTCCTCCCACTCTAGCAACCTTCATTCTCCGACAACTTGCTCAAACAGCGACAACAACAATAACAACAGAACAACCGTCTGTTTCCTCAAAATATCAAATAGATGCGAATTATGTTTCAAATAATGTAACAACTTTGGAAGTGTAATGGGTCCAAGTTCAAAAAGTGATTCCTCTATTGTAGAGAATCACATTGATGTTGCTGAAGATGAATGATGGATAATCAGTTCGGAAAACCCATCTTTTTGCCTTCGTTCCTCGCCGTTCGGAAAACTAGATCTGAACAAAAGCTTGATGTTCAAAACTCTGTAACCAAACAAAAGCCATATGTTTAGTTGTAAAGTACCAAACATATTCAACAAGTTCAGCTCTGTGCAACCGAACGAAGAGAAATCGACCAACCTGTGAGGTAAAGAGAGAAATTGATAGAGAGAGGGGGAGCAGAGCACAAAAGAGAGAAAAGAGTGTAAGTTCCGAAAGATGAAGATGAAGATCGCAAAAGAGAGTTTGTGAATCAGTCGCTCCTTCTTTGCGGCCGCCACCAAAACCATAACCTTCATCGCCATTGATAGTTTTGTAAACAATAGGTGGTGGCGAGAGGCTCGCCAAAGGAGGAAAATAACGAAGGTGGGTTGGTTGGTGGAGGACGTCGGCGGGAGTGGAAGTAGTAGTGGGATTAGAGTTAAGGTTAAACTTGAGAGAATAAAATGAGGATAAGATTAAAATTTGATGTTAGAATAAAATTATAATAAAATAAAATATAAATAGTAAGAAATTCAAATAAAAAAGTAAGGCATTTACCGGCCCTCATTATAAAATGAGGTCAGTGATGCGATGTGTGTGATAAGGAGGGAGAGAGAGAGAGCGAGCAAAATTGTGATGTTTGTCCTCAATATCCTATCTAAAAAAAAACATAAAAATTGTGATGTGTGTGACGTGTTTTAGCGAGTGTGTCAGTGTGATGTGAGACGAGAGATTTGAGAGTTAAAAGTATATTAGATAATTATAGAGAATTCTAACATTAGAGTTTTAACATTAGAGTTTTAACATGAGTTTTAGTTAGGTGTTAAAAAAGAAAAAAACAAATCAACACATCATATTATTACGTGGAACCCACTATTAGAATTATATTAGAACCCTTACAATAGAATTCCCAAACCTTATTCTATATTTTTCACTTGTCAATACTGTTGAAATTTTCAAACATTTCTCACTGATTTGTGGTTTCTCGCTATAAGGTAATTCCCCCATTTTTAAAAGGTATGATCAACTTTATCTAGGTAACCAATAGATGTCAAACAATTTTTTAACCGACTAATTTGGACAAAATACGATTTTTTTGCAGCTGATTCACAGAGACACCAATTGAGAAATTGAATGCATTCCCTCCGAGACAGCACCAATGAAATCGTTTCTGTTGGGTCTTCTTTGTTCTAGCCCTAACAACTTCCCAACAGAAATAATCCAAAATATTTCAATTGAAGTTGTCCGTGACATTGCTGAATCTGCTGTTTCAGGGCTTCAAATTCTGTAATCAAGGCGGTGATCTCATCAACTAAGCTCAAACTCCTTTGTTTTCCTTTTAAATTGATGGGTTTGTCCTCCTTTTGTCTAATTGAACAAAATGCGATTTTATTTTAATTTAGGAAATATATTGTTTGTTTGTTTGTTTGTATTCCTGTTAACAAATTAAAAGCTTTTTTTTACACCTTGACCCTGTTTTTAGTTGAATTTGTGGTTTTTGGCTCGTGGGTTTGATTGGTTGGTTTCCTTTTGGTCCATTTTACTCTTCCATTCAGGTCAATGAATCAATGTGCATTAGTGTTCTGTACCTTAATTTTTTGTTTTGAGGAAAAATTTAGCACCAAACCCTTTGATTCCTTTGATTTGTTAGTTGAGGAACCGAAGTGACCCCAATGATATGGTTTGGTTTTGTCGTTTAGTTTCATATGCAAATGCATGGATGAAGATGTATATCTAAATTTGATTATGTGATTGGTATCTCTCTTTTTTTTATTTTTTTTTTATTTTATGAACAAAAACTTTGGGATGTATGGCCAATATGTAGATGGCCATTTTTTAAAGAGCATATAGATACTTGTATAGCCTCAATCAATAATAGGAAGGTATCCCAATTTCCATGCTTTAAAGATTATTCATTTTTATTTGAGATCATAGAAACATTACAAACATTATCAAATGCCTACGTCAAAATTTTAGTGGTTGCATTCATGTAATGATATAAAGAGGACTCTTAAAGTGAATTTCAATGAAATTTAATAAATGAATGTTACCATACATAACAGTAGCTAGTTGGATTAAAAGAAATTCTCATGATGAGTTATACATAGTTGTTGTGGATCAAAGAGATTTGAGTGTGGGATTTATGGTGATTGATATTAAAGATCCCTTTCCCATTACCATTAGATTCCCATTTGGCTAAACTACAAGTTAGTTTGTAATATTCCACTTAGTTTTAACATGGGTTTTAATTAGGTGTTAAAAAAGAAAAAAACAAATCAACACATCATATTATTACGTGGAACCCACTATTAGAATTATATTAGAACCCTCAAAATAGAATTCCCAAACCTTATTCTATATTTTTCACTTGTCAATACTGTTGAAATTTTCAAACATTTCTCACTGATTTGTGGTTTCTCGCTATAAGGTAATTCCCCCATTTTTAAAAGGTATGATCAACTTTAAAATATATTTAAATTTAATTTATCTAGGTAACCAATAGATGTCAAACAATTTTTTAACCGACTAATTTGGACAAAATACGATTTTTGTGCAGCTGATTCACAGAGACGCCAATTGAGAAATTGAATGCATTCCCTCCGAGACAGCACCAATGAAATCGTTTCTGTTGGGTCTTCTTTGTTCTAGCCCTAACAACTTCCCAACAGAAATAATCCAAAATATTTCAATTGAAGTTGTCCGTGACATTGCTGAATCTGCTGTTTCAGGGCTTCAAATTCTGTAATCAAGGCGGTGATCTCATCAACTAAGCTCAAACTCCTTTGTTTTCCTTTTAAATTGATGGGTTTGTCCTCCTTTTGTCTAATTGAACAAAATGCGATTTTATTTTAATTTAGGAAATATATTGTTTGTTTGTTTGTTTGTATTCCTGTTAACAAATTAAAAGCTTTTTTTTACACCTTGACCCTGTTTTTAGTTGAATTTGTGGTTTTTGGCTCGTGGGTTTGATTGGTTGGTTTCCTTTTGGTCCATTTTACTCTTCCATTCAGGTCAATGAATCAATGTGCATTAGTGTTCTGTACCTTAATTTTTTGTTTTGAGGAAAAATTTAGCACCAAACCCTTTGATTCCTTTGATTTGTTAGTTGAGGAACCGAAGTGACCCCAATGATATGGTTTGGTTTTGTCGTTTAGTTTCATATGCAAATGCATGGATGAAGATGTATATCTAAATTTGATTATGTGATTGGTATCTCTCTTTTTTTTATTTTTTTTTTATTTTATGAACAAAAACTTTGGAATGTATGGCCAATCTGTAGATGGCCATTTTTTAAAAAGCATGTAGATACTTGTATAGCCTCAATCAATAATAGGAAGGTATCCCAATTTCCATGCTTTAAAGATTATTCATTTTTATTTGAGATCATAGAAGCATTACAAACATTATCAAATGCCTACGTCAAAATTTTAGTGGTTGCATTCATGTAATGTCATAATCTTGCACCATAGAGATGATATAAAGAGGACTCTTAAAGTGAATTTCAATGAAATTTAATAAATGAATGTTACCATATATAACAGTAGCTAGTTGGATTAAAAGAAATTCTCATGATGAGTTATACATAGTTGTCGTGGATCAAAGAGATTTGAGTGTGGGATTTATGGTGATTGATATAAAGATTCCTTTCCCATTACTATTAGATTCCCATTTGGCTTAACCACAAATTAGTTTGTAATATTCCACTTAATTAGCAGTTTGTGATAAATTGATTTGTTTATTTTTATTTTTATTTTTTATAGTTTTTTCATGGATTTAATTCATTGTCTCAGCCCTATAAATTTCATCCTATACCACAATATTTGTCTGGAAGCATAATTTGATGAATGTACTTCTTGTGGCTAATGTTATATAACCTCTCAATTATACTTCTATGACTTATCTACATAATTTTGACAAACACATTATTTTTATTATATAAAGCATTATATTACTTTCTAAGTATATTTAACATTCCATGATAATGAACGAACATATCTATATTTGGTGGATACATTGGTACCAATACAAATTATAAATTGCACAAAGAGTAAAAACAATGAAATCAATATCTATAACTATGATTTTACTCTGCTAAAATACATTAAATATTGGACTAGATACTTTCTATATCAACTTACTTTTGTATACTAGATGAGGCAGATGAAGAAGTTGCAGAGGATGAGGTGTACTTGGAGAAATCTGTGTTGTAAGTATAGCTTGAAGAATGAACTTGGCTGCTATTAGAAACAGTAGTAGAGCCGTAGGTTAAAGAAACCAAAGACGAAGAAGTATTCATAGGAGCAAAATATGTTGCCACGTGCATTTTAATTGGGAGAATGGGCAATGGAGCTTCAAAATTAAGCACATGAATGGCTTGCCTAATTGAAGGCCAGAGATTGTGATTCGGGTGAGCACACCAGAGCCCAACAATCATCAAGCATTCCATTTCTTTTTGAACAAAATCTGGGCTCATCTTTGAATCCACCACTGCTTCAAGAAGCCTACCAGTACCGTATAGGTCCCAAACCCAGTCCACTATTCTTATCTTACTTTCCTTAGCCTTTAGGTCGATAGGTTTTCTTCCACAAGCTATCTCCAATGTCACAATTCCAAAATTGTAGACATCTGATTCCTTATTAGCTTTGCCCGTAATTAAGCATCCGGGTGCCATATAGCCCATGGTCCCGGCCAAAACAGTCTTTTGTGACCCTTTTGTGGTCAAGAAGTCTGGCTAACCCAAAATCCCCAAGTTTAGCATTGAAATTCGTATCCAACATAATATTACTTGATTTTACATCCCTGTACACCACACATTGTTCCCATTCTTCGTGCAGATAGAGCAAGCCAAGACCAACCCTTGAGCAATTTTGTACCTTATGACCCATGTCAACAAGGCTTTTTCTTTGAAGAGATGGTAATCTAAGCTTCTATTTTCCATGAACTCACAAACAAGTAAGAGTTCTCTTTTGTAGTGACACCAACCAATTAGTTGCACTAAATTTCTATGCCTCAATCGACTAATGATCTTCACTTCTGATGCATACTCTTTTATTCCTTGTTTTGATCCCTTTGATATCCTCTTCATAGCAACATAGGAATTGGATTCCCTTAAGAAACCTCTATATACCCCACCAAATCCTCCCTTTCCAAGCGTATGTTCCCCTGCAAAGTTATCTATTGCACGAAACAATTCACCGTACGTAAATTTCTTTGGTCCGATACCTGCCTCAAATTCGTTGTCCACGGATAGTTCAATAGCAAATTCATCTCCATCTTCTTCTTTTACTCTACTACTTTTTTTCCACAAGACAAAGCCAAGCAAAGCCAACCCACCAATCAAAACAGGTGAGACAGCGGTCAATCCCACAACCAGCGCCTTTTTGTTGTTTTCACCCATCTTCTTTGGAGGGCTTGGGATGACTGTGTTGGGTCCTGGACTGGGACCTGGTTTCACTGCCACATCAATTTGAATCTGATAAGCCAATTGCAACCCATTATGGTAAGTATTCCCTTAGATCAACCAGGAAACTAAGGTTCCTTTCAACTGTCATATTATTTATTGAATTAGTGAAAACAACACTCGAATTTTTCGAACTAGAATCATAATTAATCCAAGCTTCGTTTTCTATCCCAGACGGTATGTTACTGTACCATACTGCAGTATCGTTAGATATGATAGAGTTGATATTGATACCTACATGTGTGGTGTTTTTTGGGTCCCAACCCCAATTCTGATAGTTATCAAACTCCACAGCAACAAAGGGAGTGGTCGATCTAAGTGTCTGCAGGTCGAATGGAAGGCCAATGGCACCACCTGCTGTGATATTGGGAGTGGAACCATTAGGAACAAGGAAGAATGTGATCCCATCTGCAAAATCATAGCTTCCTATCGAATCAATGACAAACGAGAAATAGGTGTTGAAGTCCGTGAGTTTTCCAGAAGTGTTGTCCCAAAGGAAAAGAGGATCTTTGTATGTGGCTTAACCAGCTGCGTGGCTCTGGCTCGTGTTCATCTCATTTGGGGTGAGTTGGATGCCTTCAGGTGAGACATAAGCATCTCCTTCTACAACTATCTCTGCATTTAGTTGCGGACCAATATTAGTCGAGTTGAAGCTCAGTGCAATTGCATGAAGAGGGTTTACTACAAGGAAGTAGGTAACAGATGATTGCGTAGAAGAAGAAGAAGAAAAAGAGAGAACGAAGTAAATTTTGTGATCGGAGGGGGTTCCACGAGTTGCAAACAGCCATGGCCATGGTTGGTTGAGGAAAATTAGTTTTTGGTGAATGAGTTTGACATATAAATTAGTAAATAACTAT